AGAAGTAAATGTATTAGGTGAAACTTAAAACAACAAAAATGGAACCACCCACTGTCAGGACATTTCCCTAAAAGACTAGTTTTAGACTATTAAATGACCATTAAAAAAAACAATGGGAAAATTGATACTATCAAAAGGAACACTTTCCTCAACAAAAAATGAGTATCAATTAAATATCAAGATAAATGGCTGAATAAACGAGAAGCAAATGAGGAATAAGAGGGCATAAGAGGGAATCAAACGTAAACAAGTTGAGTGAAACACAATGGTAACTCATTCTCTATTTTGTATTCAGAGTATATCTGTACTCTAGGTTCATCTTGAGACATAATCTAAGGTAGATTAGAAAGGGTTAATCTTGTTGGCCCTCTAGACCCATTAGTCTAGAGAATGGAGGAGAGATCCTCTATTGTTTGGCTGCCTAAATTCATAAATTTTGAAGAGAGTCTCTACTTTAGTCTGGCCCTCTATAATCATAAATGTTGAAGCAAACTATAGTATCCTCTATTTTGGGCTCTTACAGCTATGAATTTAAAAACTTATATTTAAGTTGGATCATGAGTTGGTTTTAGTTATTAAATCTAGTGAAGGTGGTTGAACTCCTAATACAATGTCTAATTCACTGAAGGTTTTTGAAGAGTGGAGTTAGTCATGTGATAGAACCAATATAAAAGTAATTTGTGAAATACTCATCTTGTCCTTGAGATCCTAATAGCCAAGAACGGAAAAAGAAAGAAAAAAGATTAGATGATATCAATTCACCGTTCCCTTCTCTAGGTGATGTGATGCCATATAAAATACAATAGAGAAAATGATTCTAAGACAACTCACTTATTACATCATTTAGGAGATAATCCTTCTTCACAAATAGACTCACTCTTATATGTACTTTGATCATTTCTCGTACTAAATCATCAAACTCACCTATTATGGGATAGTAACTAATAACTTAAATTTAGAATGTGATCAAATAAATTGGAAATTAATTTTCCCTTACATGGTGCCTTTCTTACTATATGAGCGTAAATCATGTGAGTCTACTCATAAGTCAATTTCCTCCAAGGAAACAATAGTAACACTAGGAGTTATAGAATCAATCTGAAATCACATCAGACTTGTCCAAGGGTTGTGAAAATATGTTCTGATATTTTTATAAACTCTTGGAATAATTTTTTGATGCATTCTTTATATGTATGTTTTTGAAAACCAGAATTAAAAAGGCTCAAAAACCCAACAAAAAATTGAATAAACTGTTATAAACCTGGTGTTTCTGTAATATAAAATTGATATTAATTTCGTTTGAGCATCCACAATAGGGGTACCATTTTATCTTAGATATCTCGTAAATGTGAACCACCCAAACCCAAAGGTATACATTGGAAGCCTCAAAAGAGGCCTGGTAGCGTAGTCCATTATTTAGGGTTTTAATTTCTCTTAAAGGCACATCTATTTATTTTCTTCATGTGATGGAGTAAACAATTTTATTGCAATTAGGTCCTCACGAACCACTCCATAATATATAAGCTCATCATGTTTTCATTCAGAGCCTTAAGTTCCAAAAATTCACGATTAAGTATGTTGGCTAATTAAGCAGGAAGAGGCGAAAAAGACTAATGGCCCTCTTTGTTGTCTCGGCGCTATCAGCCCTCTTCCTAATACAAGGAGAGAAAAATAAATCATAAGAATAGTTCAGTCTTTTCTGTATAAAATTATATTTAAAATATAATTACACCGAGACATTAAACTATAAGACAACTAATTTCCATAAATTTTTTGGCTGAATGTGAAAAGACAAGGAACATTCATAGTTCAAGGGGATTATGAAGATCTAAAATACTTATAAAAAAAACTTGCAAAGAATGGCCCAAGCCTCATGGATTTAGATCGGTTGATTCTGTAGCAATCTATGTGCGTGACCTACAAAAAGGTCAGAATGAATTTAATAAAAATATTAAAATAGTATTCAATGCAGTCAAGCCGTAATCTTCGTATTTGCTCACATGGTTGGGTGGCTCACGGAATTGGAAAATGCTTTGGTTGAATATATCGAAAAGCATTGTCATTTACATGTATAATATAGGTAGACGATGGACAGTCATAGCCCTCCAACTATTTTCTAGGTTATTTCAAAGTCATGGTGCAGCTGCAGCCGGGATCCCTTCTCCCCCCTGCTTATGACCTTTTTCCTAGCAGGACAGACTATGATTCTATCTTCTTTATTTCATTGGTTGCCTGCAACTGTTGAATTCCCTTCGTGAAAAGTATGTCGCTCGGAGCATAAACATGTCCGTTTAAGCTTCTTCCGTAATACAACTCTGTTATAGATCTCTGTAATTCAACTGTCCTTCTCTGTTAGATCCAGACACGGGGAGGGCTGTTGGGACAGCTCCACAAGAAAATTGTCCGATTTGTTTCTCATTTTGTAAGAGTTGGGATTTACACTTTCGAAGGCCTTCACTCATGGCTAAATGAGATTTTCAAGGAAAATGCTAGAGGGACTATCTAGTCGATAGGCAGACATAACAAATTGCTTATTTAGCAGGAATAAGTGGAGAAAAAACAAGATACAACCCATCCTATAACTTCCCAACAGTGATATATGCTTATTTATGATTTCTTATTGACTAATTTGCCAGACCCCTCTGAATCGCAGGCACGACAGAGTAGTGCTTGACCAGACATGAGTTGTGGCACTGGGGTCGATTTATGGTAGGGAGCTATACTGTGGGTCATGTCCGTTTTGAACTACTGAAGACATTTTGCATGGATTAAAGGAATTCAAAGCATAGTACATAGCTTTTGAATTTTTTTAGATTAATGCAATAGTTTATTTTCTTACCCTCTCTTATCTCCTTAATGAAAGAGACAAATCCTCCACCATTTATTACAATTTTATATGAAAGTGATGCAACAGTTGTCCCATAATTGGGCAGTAAATTAATGAATGGTGGCTAACATCAGATAGAGTCATATATATCTGTTGTATTATATTATTGAGTAACCTATTTGACGTGCTCGAATGAGGAAACCTATCATACAACAATTTTAAGTGACCATAGGAGCTCTTTGGATATTGTGCATAACGCATGGCTCAACCATTGAATAATTATCAAGATTTCTCCCCTAAATTATCCTTTGATTTTTGTAAAAAATTATCCGATGAAAATAGAAATACAGACCTTGAAAGCACGATGAGTACAGGAGGGCGTCGAGAGTTGGTGGGCTTACGATGTGAGGGCCACCAAATAGAGGCTCAGGCTTGTGATGTAAGGGCGATCCCTATGCGGTGTAGAGAGTACGCTAATAAATACTGTGGGAGGCTGTTTCCAAAGAAAGTACTGTTCACTTGGCATCCACTCGCCTTGAAGGATAAGGAGGTTTAAAGTCAAACAAATAGAGAGAAATGGAGAACAAGTCAAGGTCCGAGATAACATGTTGACTTTTTTATATTTTATCTGCGTAAAAAACGTACGGTCCAACAGAGGAAACAACCACGTGCCTTCGTCGCCTACAAACAGCCACATTTATGTCAGACTATGACGTTAATACGATGACGTGGTCGTCTGTTTCGCAACTGGGCAACAAGGGCATTCACTTAGCTGGGGACAGTTGACGGGGACCATCGGGCCCGTAAGCCCGACCACCGGCTCAGTCTTCCTCGCTCTGGACATCGAAATCAGGCCCGAAAATCAAAACGGGCCCGGTATCCCTCCCCGTCTACGATCCCATGCAGAAGGGTGCTAATGGGTCCGGATAAGCCCGAAGCCTCGACTGGGCCGAAGGCCCACATGCCCGTTACTCCGAGACAGACTTTCGGAGTTCCGGTCGGCTGACGGGTCACAGCCCGGCCCGATGGGTCGTTGACTTCCGGAGTCTTTCAACCAATTTTGACAGCTTTTCAGGTAAGGTCGCTGGTCCGCCCCTCGGGCACGGGACTTGTCGAGATGACGTGTCCATCATGTGGGTAATAGGGTAAGGCGCCGTATGGTTGGTAGGTTAAAATAGAGATGAGGAAAAATATAATTTTCTACGAACAAAGGTGTAAAAGGAGAAATGAAAAGCTATGTGAGGGCTGCATAGCGAAGAAAGTATGGACTCAGGCTGTCCGGGCCTCTGACTTTTATGACGCCGTACCACGTTGAAACTTCTCTTCAAATACTCATCTTCACAAAAAAATAGGGGCAACGTGGGGAAGTCGTTCTCGAATATTTACTTTTGCAGTGTCAATTGGAAATTCTCTACTTTATGAGGGTCTAATTGGGCAAGCCAGATGAGGTGCGAGAGGGTACGGCCCCGTATTGTTGTCTTAAATAGACGAGGAAAAATATCAATTTTCGCGACCTGAGAGGTAATACGGCGTTGTGGGCTGCAGAACGAAGAAAGGAGCTCTGACAATTTCCCTCTTTGAGTTGAACGAAACATGCTTCTCTTTTAAATAATGATCGTCCCCACGAGAACAACCAGAGAGCAACGTGGGCGAGTTATTCTCGAGACACCTAGTTTTGTAGTGTTATTTGAAAAGTCTCTCATTAATGGGAATCTAATTGGGCAAGCTAGAATTCTTGCGGCAGCCGGGGACGACCGTAGAATCCGTCACTGCTGCTCTCTTCAAGTCAGACGATGGGAGGAGGGAAGTCGTCTGGCCCAGGGACCGTGTGGGTGGTGAGTCGCTGTCGGGGTTCCCCGTCTCTGATCCAGTCAACAGTGGAGGAGGGGGAGGAATCTTCCTGTTGGTTTGTCCGAGTTTGAGGATCGGTGTACGATAATTGAAGTAGAGACTACGGAGGACGAGGAAGAGGGAGAAAAGCGCCGCCGCCGTCCCTCCGATTCTCCGCTGTCATAAAAGTCAACGGCCACCCATTCTTAGGCCCTCCGCTTTGACTTTCATCCCGTTCGGGTTTCGTTCGATCTGAATTTGATCCCCCCATTCTTCCTTCTCCCATCCGGCCGACGGCGGCGCAGTTTGACAAAGAAAGTAAGCAAGGGAGGGAGATAGGAAGATGGTGAGGAAGAGGACGAGGGAGCTGTACACCAGAGAGGCGGCGGAGTTCCTTCGTCACGTGGCGCAGGAGAAGCCCCTGCTGCCGTTCCTGATCCCGCTGGCCTTTCTGGCCTGGGCCGTAGAACGATGGCTGACCCCCATCTCCAACTGGGTTCCCCTCCTTGTCGCAGTCTGGTGGACGATCCAGGTAGAAGCTCCTCCTGCCATTTATTCTGCTTGTTCGATTCTTGAAGCTCTCCCGTCTTCTTTGTTGATATGAGCTCTCCCTTCTTCCTGGTTTTCCGCTGCTCCTCCCTGTGTTTCTTCTGAACGTCCATGGGAACTGATCAATTGACGCCATCGCGCATCGGCTCCATCAATCCGGTTGACGTTTCATGTCGAGGTGCAGCCTTGCCAGCTCCCTCTCTCACTGAAATTTTACTCCACGTAGCCCGGTTTAGATCACAAAAGTTCTTCATCTCCCTCCTGGATGCGGCACAGAGTGTCTCCCTCTGTTCCTGCAGTGAATGGGAAGGCTCAGACCCCGTCCTTCGTCTTATTATTTTCCTTCACTGCAACGTGGAAATGAAACTTTCCTTTTCCGGGAACGCTTTAAAATTCTTGAAACCTTTTCTCCCCCTCTGGCATCTGTTGGTGCGAAGTTCCCAGGTTTAGAAGGGATACAAAGATGCTCTGATTGATTCATCCTTTTTATTTAAAGTCAACGATAGTTTGGTGGCCTCCAGATTCTTAACGCTGCCGTGGAAGCCAGCCGCATCCCATGAACTTCAATCGGGATGCGGATTCCCTCTGTTTTTGATCTTCATTTTTTTCTCTCAAAGATGATGTGATCTCAAATTGTAATTATTTTTTTCTCTGAGCAGAGGAAACGCTACTTCTTGAGCTGGTTGTTCTTCTTAACAGATTTTTGAAAATTTCTGTATACGTTACCGTTAAAAGTCGACAATTTTTACACAGCGATGAGAGAGAGAGAGAGAGAGATTGATTGATCAGAGCCCAGGAGTTTATAAAATTTCAACATTGCTGGATAGCACGGATTTTTATTTTCATTACCAGAAGACTAAGCTAGTGCTCCATGGAGAGAGAACCCATAGTCCTCCTCGCCTTGTTTTCAGTACTCTTTGTATGACCTTTTTCCTGCGCAGTATCTTTAACGTAGTTTGAAGTTTGGTTATCCGTAAATTTTGCGCATTTATGTAGAAAATATCTAACCTGACGCAATGGAAGTTGACCTTTTCATTCAGTACGAGCGATTTCATCGTCTCCAACTGGTAGCCGATTTAAACCATAAATGGAAACAGCGCGTATTAAAGACCTCGGTATGTAAGTTACTCTCCGTTGTTTTGGATTATATTTCTCAAATAAATTAGCCATTCTGTAGCCTGAAAGAACCGTGCTTTGCAGCCCATAACTCCGTCAGAACCCTGCGAATGGTTGAATAAGCTCTTCATTGATGTCTGGCCCAACTACATGGTTCCCAAGCTCTCAAGAACGTTCTCATCGATCGTGGAGGTAATTATTCGTTCTGGGCTGTTAATTTTCCCCCCTGATCTTGTCCCCAGTGGAAATTATTCTCGCACGCCACCATCCGACGTCGATTAATCTTCCTCGTCTAATCTGTTCTTGGTTTCCGTGGCTCTGGTGTCTATCAAACCACATTCAATGAAAAACTTTGTTTTTAGCGAATTCCGCGCTTCTGTTAGTTCTGCTTATCATTCTCATGGGGAATCTAAAATCGGATATCTTTGTCGAACAAAACTCGGAAAGAACCAGGTTTCTTGTTGGGTAATTTACGTTAATCCGACATTCTTGGTGAACTTGTTCTTCATTGGTGATAACATCCTCAATTAGTGCAACGACACTATTGAGGAAAGCCTGAGATCCTACCCTCCCCCTCTCTATAAATCCCACCACAGAGAGAAACCAGGGCTCTCTGCTCTGCTCGCAGTTGAGGAGTTGCCCGGTTGGAAGGGAGACCTCTGCGTTTTCGCTGCTACCGAGGTCATCTGAGCGGAGGCCCCCCTCCCCAGCTTCTCAGCTCCTCCCCTGTAGGGTACACTTGTTTTCATCCTCCTTCCTTGCTCTCTCTCTCTCTCTCTCTCTCTCGCTCTCGCTCTCACTCTCTCGCCCGCTTGTATTGGGGTTATTCGAGTTATTTGCTGGACTTGTCTGAGAGAGAGGGGGTTTTGTAGACCTCTGAAGCGCGCCACAGAAGGGGTGAGGGGTTGGGAGGATCGGGGTTAAGGAAGCACGGTTTGCTTGGTCTTTCTGACTGAACCTTTTTCTGTCACAGAAAGGCTTGAAGAACAAGAAACCGGCTCTACTGGTAAGTTGCCTGAGTTCTTCTGGCGCTTCTTTCTATCCGCCGGCGAATTATTTCGTTGACTGTCCCGTTTCTCGTGCAGGATAAGATTGAGTTGCAAGAATTCTCGCTCGGGTCATGCCCCCCAATCCTGGGAGCCCATGGTGTCCACTGGTTCACATCAGGCGACCAGGTTAGGCTCTATTCGTCATCTTGAACAGTAATTTGTGCCAACAGGATACCAGTTTCTGAGGATCACGAACTTGAATCAGTTCAACAAATTAGTCTGCGATATATAAGAACTGTAAATCCTACAAATCTCTGTGCTTTCATGTCTTTCTTTTGCGTCTTTTATCCCTGAAAGATCGTAGCTTTCAATAACATTCCCTTCATTTCTCTACGTTAAGTTTGTAGTTCGAGTTATTATTCACTTCTTCTTTTTTCAAAAATGAACTGAAAATACTAAACAAATGTCAATAATCGATGCTAAGAAACGGCAAATATAGCGGGTAAACGCTGTACATTTCATTTTCTTCTTAATCCAGCCGCTTTGATGTTGTGTTGAGATAAATATAGATGCAAGCTTGTTATTATGATGTTATCATTCATTTAATGATATCTAATCACAGAGAGTCCTGAGGATGGGCTTTGACTGGATCACAAATGATATGAGCATCATGCTGTTCGCAAAACTGGCAACCCCATTAATGGGCACTGCCAGGATCGTCATCAACAGCCTACACATCAAGGGAAATGTATGTGTAACTCCACTCCGCTCGCATGGTATTCCGATCATCTTTTTCAAGTTCTTAGTACCGAAAATATACGTCGTCCAAGTGATCAGTGAGAGATGTCTGAATTCAATGTTAGATCGAAAAATAAACACTGTAGTAGAGTTCTATGCCCGTGGGAATCATACCAGTAGTGAATACGGAATCAAACTCCATGAGGATTAGAAAAAACTAATATTCCTGTCACAGAGAGATATCTTCGGTTGACTGGTTCTTCCCCTCAAAGGCAAAAAAAAATGATCCGAGGGGAGTTCTCTGAAGACCACTTTCTCACGCTAGAATTCCAATTGAAGAAGCTTTTGTGTTGAATCTTCTTAGACATGTCAGAACTAAAGGCCGCTTGCAGTAAACCCAAGAGTAGCTCCTCGTCCAACACAGACGGACTAATTGGGAGACGATGAGTCATGGGCTTGATAAGTCATGCATAGAAGATAGATAGCCTTTGACGGCAATGCTGATAGAAGAAAACGACTGGTTTTTAGTACTAGATGAACGCTCACCCGAAAGAAGGTTCGTTTCGGCTTCAATCTCCTAACGTTCCTAGCTTTTTTTCTTCTCCCGCAGCTCCTGTTGATGCCCGTCCTGGAAGGGCGTGCGATCCTATACTCCTTCGAATCCACACCTGAAGTGAAAATAGGAGTCGCATTCGGAACCGGCGGGAGTCAGTCCCTTCCCGCGACGGAATTACCCGGCGTTTCAACATGGCTGGTTCTCCTCCTCCTCTCTCTCTCTCTCTCTCTCTCGATCGATCGATCGATCGATATATATATATCTGTGTATCTCTATCATGCCTCCTTCCTCTTCTTCTTCCAGGTGAAGCTCTTTACCGACGCATTGGCGAAGAAGATGGTCGAGCCTCGGCGTGGGTGCTTCACCCTGCCACCGGTGAATCTGAGGAAGAAGGCGGTGGAAGGGGTCCTCCATGTCACGGTGATGTCGGCCGAGCACCTCCAAGGGAGCATCGTCAGGACGAACAGCGCAGAAGATAAACAGAACCAGGTTAGAGGTGGGCCTCCTGGAGAATCTCCGGGCAAGACGCTTCAGACGTTCGTTGAGGTGGAGAGCGGGGAGGTCAGCAGGAGGACGAAGGTGAGGCAGGGATCGAGCCCCAGATGGGAGGACAGCTTCAACATGGTCTTGCGCAGGAAGTCGCAGGCTCTCAAGTTTCATCTCTACCAGTGGAGAGAGAACAGCGTGAAGTTCGACTACCTCGCCAGCTGTGAGATCAAGGTAGCCAGTCCGTAGGTTTATTTTGCTGAGATTCCTTTCAGTTTTCATCTCAAAGAGCCAAGTAAACGTTTTTTTATCACTGTTGTTGTCCTTGTCGTCAATGGGCCGATTAGTAGAGACGTTTCACCTCAATTTGATAGTAGTACTTTAGAATAGTATATCGATATTGTTTTTATAAAAACAGGGGGATCCACTGTCGATGCATTTATTGATTAAAAAAAAGATAGTTCAAACTAGGTGAGTTAGATAGAGTTCACAGTACATTGATTCACCTCCTGCATACTTTACTACTTAGCTGAAGGAATCATAATACTAGGAAAAATTAAAAATATATATCCTATTTTTATACATCTTTTGGCATTGGATTTCGACAGTCTACTAATGGAACATACGTTTCTCCATGGACAGATTAGGTATGTTGAGGATGACTCTACAATATTCTGGGCTGTCGGCCCTGGATCTGGTACACTAACCAAGAGGGCAGATTGCTGTGGAAAGGAAGTCGACATGGTTGTCCCATTTGAAGGAAGCCATGGTGGAGAGGTAATTTAAATACGGTGACGAATGTTGTTTGATCTAGCTGAATTAAATAGCCGTGGATAATTTTCGAATTAGTTATTTTTCTATTTAGCTGAACAAACTAGCTATGGGAATTATAAAATCTGTGCTCTGAATATAGCTGCCTGACTGTTTATTTCTCGAGTTTTCTTTTTTAAAAATCGGGGATTAAACCTTTAAAATATCCTTATCTGTAATTATTTTGGGTTAATGGCCCTCCATGCGACTGAACTTTCAAGCATCGTCTCCTTCCCAGCTATCTGTGAAGCTCGTCCTGAAGGAATGGCACTATTCGGACGGTTCACACAGCTTGAACAGCACCGCCAGCATTCTATCTCAGCCATCCAACTCTGGCTTTTCGAGCTTCCAGTTGGGGACTGGAAGGAAGGTCAAGATGACCGTCATAGAGGGCAAGAACCTGTTGACCAAATCCGGGAAGTGCAGCCCTTACGTCAAGCTGCACTATGGTAAGGTTCGTCATCGTCGTCCCGTTGACTCCTGATCTTCTCCCGCTTCCAAAGTTATCTTGAAGACTCACCGCCCTTCACTCTCTTCTCCTCCTCTTCCTCCACCCTCTCCTTCTCTTTCTCCTTCACCAGACCATCCACAAGACGAAGACCATCCCTCATGTCTGGGACCCCCTCTGGAACGAGCCCTTCGAGTTCGATGAGATCGGAGGGGGAGAGTACCTCAAGATCACCTGCTACAACGAGGATTTGTTTGGGGACGACCACATCGGCAGCGCGAGGGTCAACCTCCAGGGCCTCGTCGATGGTTCGGTCAGGGACGTCTGGGTCCCCCTCGAGAAGGTCACCACCGGAGAGCTAAGGCTTCAGATCGAAGCCCGGAAGAAAGACAAAGCGGAAGGATCCAGTGTACGATGTCAGCATATTTCATGTGCACCGCTCTGAATCTGCCATCCATTGCTGTCAAATGCTTCTTGTTCTTCGTCTATTCAGTTTCTCTTCCGGGTTTTGGAGAAAGATCGTGACTTTTTGCCGTTTTTTCATGCCATGGCCAGTGTTCGAGCAGGAGAACCGAGGCTGGGTTGATTGAGCTGAATATCATCGAAGCTAGGGACCTCATTGGAGCTGATTTGAGGGGAACCAGCGACCCCTACGTCCGGGTGCAGTACGGAAGCGTGAAGAAAAGAACTAAGGTCAATCTCTCATTGCCTCGATTGAGGACCATTCTATATATAGCTGGTTTCGTCCAAGCACCCTTCTTTTTCCTTTTCTGGCCAAAATTTGGATATATTCGAGTTCGCGAAACCATTGGTTACTGTGCCGTCGGTCTTCAAAGATCTCCACGCATCGTCTTCTACCATCTACCATTCCCCCCTGCGTACGATGCTCCTATGAACAGAAAGAATTAGGTCACCATTTGCTGAGGATCCTTCATGAAGGATCCTCTGCGACGCAGCTCCCCCAACATGAGGTCTTGGAAATGGAAGACTGACGCCAGGAAACATCATCTTTTTCGTAATTCATCGATCATTAGGGTTAGCCGAGATAGTTTAGAGGAATACGACCATGTGTTTGTTCATCTTGACCAAATGTGTTTTTCCGATTTTCGTTCGGATGGTCTTCTCTGATCTCGAATGCCATTTGCAGGTAATTCATAAGACGTTGAATCCTGTGTGGAACCAGACGCTTGAATTTCCCGACACCGGCGGCCAGCTGAACCTGCACGTGAAGGATTACAACGCCCTGCTCCCGACGTCGAGCATCGGACACTGTATGGTGGAGTATGAAAGCATAGGGCCTAACCAAACGGCTGACAAATGGATACCCCTCCAGGGAGTGATGAACGGGGAGATCCACGTACAGATAACCAGGAAAGTTCCCGAGCTGGAGAAGAAATCAAGCATGGACGGCAGCACGTCCTCCTCCGGAGGAGCCCGTGAAATCTCTAATCAGGTGAGGAAGCAGCCTCCGAGGATCTCAGGGACACATTTAAATTCAGTTATTTACGTAGTCATGCGTTCCAATCGACAATTCATCGTCAAGGAGTTTCTGGGTCGTGATTTACTATCGTTCTTCGATTTTTTTCCTCGTTTGAATGCCCAGAAACGTCCTCATTTACGGTTGCTGGTCATGGAGTTTCAGGGTCGTGATTTACTATAGTTGTTCGATTTTTTTCCTCGTTTGAATGCTCAGAAACGTCCTCATTTACGGTTTCTGGTCATGGAGTTTCAGGGTCGTGATTTACTATCGTTCTTCGATTTTTTTCCTCATTTGAATCCCCAGAAACGTCCTCATTTACGGTAGCTGGTCATGGAATTTCTGGGTCGTGGTTAAATATCGTTCTTCGATTTTTTACTCACTTGAATGCCCAGAAACATCCTCATTTACGGTTGCTCGCATGTGCTTTCATCCTTCTTTCACTAGTCGACTGAGCTTCTGAAGAAGCTTCAGAGCTCACTGAAGGGCGGGGACTTGGAGAGCCTTCCTCTTGCTTTAGCCGAGCTCGAGAGCATCAAGGATGAACAGGATGAGTACATGTGGCAGCTTGAGACGGAGAAAGCGTTGTTGCTGGAAAAGATTTCTGAGCTCTACCGGGAGATCAATAACACATCACCCTCCCCGACCAGGAAGGCCCTCAAAAATTGATTACCTGAGATTCACTGGGCAGTACTGTATATCTTTAATTTTAGATTTTTTTTGTTTGAAAAACATTCCAAAGACTTCTTCGATGTGAAGAGGTGCAGCTGCAGAGCTCTAAGGAGTCATTCCTAGTGGATTATCCGCCATTAATGGTGGCTCATACTCACATAATGTGGGAAATAGAATGCCGAAGTAACAAGGTTGGCCGTGGCTGTTCTCAAGGATTTCCTAAAGGATGTTGAATATTTTTGTTGCATCACGACAACCGCTGGTATGGGTATCATTGGCCCTGCTTCGTTTATGTACCCTTTACTATAATTATACAGTACAACTAAATTTATCACGTTTATTATATTATACAATCGTGTGTTATCCGCTTCTTCGTGTAATGGGGGAATGGTAAATTATCTGAAATTCCAAATCTCTGATTCCAAGCATGACCAAAGCTTAAGTGAGAGATACGATAGAGGTGGCCACAAATTGATGCTTCAATCCTTCATGATACCGTTTTTGTTTTTTCAATGTGATAGTCTCTCATTTATTCTTATTCTTAATTAATCCAAGTTTCTTAACTCACTGAGGTACACGAAATATTTTCAAGAGCTATAAACTAAAAGGGGCATTCATCACATGCAGTATGCGGACATGAAAACCTGCTTAATTAATTATAGAACTTCTTCACTCACTATGCCTACTTTGAGATTTATGTTGAGTAACTATAAGTTATGCTGTAGCTTTCAAGTACACCAAGAGAATTTGAACTTCAGTTCACTCTGAATAATTTGGAGAATAGATGACTCAAGGTTGTGTGTATCTTGCTTTCTTTCTCACTTGATGATTAGTTTTTAATATTCTATAATAAGGATAAGTTGTGCTTAGACAACTTTGGGGTTTCTTTGAACTTCTATATATTTCTTAAATTCTGCCTTTAGGTTTGAACACATGTTGATGAATAATGGGTGCGTTGAAACTAAAGACATATGTTAAATTATTATGAAGGATTGATTGAAAATTATTCATCACAACTAAGTTATTTTGATATCATAGTTGGAGAGTAAACAATATCATTCCTGGTAAAACCCAAAGGCAAAGTATTAATTAAAATCTATATCAACTTGAAGAAAATAGAAGAGTTTCATTCATATTCAATCGCTTAATCTTTGCATGTGGACATCAGGTAAGGTATTAATCAAAGATAGAGAGAGTAATGTTTAAATCTTAAATAAATTTTGAATTCCTTTTTGACATGATCATTCTTGCTCTAATTTTCCATTTGGTGGCTCAACAAGAGGTAAAATATGAAAAAACTCATTTTCATTCCAGTGAAGAGTTAGGGTTAAGTACATGAAAGAGGATTGATCCAAGGGTGGGTTTTTGGGCACCAACTAATATGGATCTATTCTTATTAAGGTAAAATTAAAAAAAATGACTAAAATCACAATATGATCAAATAAAGAGCCATGAATAAAAACTATATCTTCAAACATATCCTCACAAGTTGGCAAGAGGATATCATCTATTCCCAACTTGGAGACAAGATCTTGAAATACAAGTTTGTGTAGGCTTTTGCTGAGAATATATTTTCATCTACTAGAGGTTGAAATATATGATGTACAAATTAAACTATTATCAACTCTTGAATGAAATGTCAGTAAATGTTTGTGTTTAGTTTGATCATGCTGGATTGGGTTATACATGATGCTGATAGCTGATTTGTTGTCACAATATAGTCGGATAGTGTTCGCCCACTTAATTCTTAAGTCATCCAAGATGTGTGTCACTCATAGAACCTCTCAAGTATATTGAGCATTAACTCTAAATTTAGGTTCTGCATTTGACCTTATTACCGCTATTTACTTTTTACTCTACCAAATTATAAGATTTCCTTCAAAGAAGATATAATCCCAAACATAGACCTCTTATCTATTGATGCTAATGGTTTCAATAATTACAATTGAAAATGTATTGATATGAATTTATTGAATATTAATGGTTATTTATATTTGTATCAAATATTCAATATAGTTATTATATGAATTATCCTTATTCATTTAATAATTTTACCGCTAAAAATTAAATCCAAGTTATCAATCATTGAAATTAAGTGATCCTTCATATTATTAATATTTGATCGACAAAGAATATCAGTTGAATAATCATTATTAATAAAAGAATAAGTGATGTGACCTAATCATTGTATAATAAATCACACAAATTTATAATTTATAAAACTAAAAAAATACTATTTTTTATATTTTTAGAAATATTTTAGTAAAAATAAATTAATTATAATTTATCAAAATATTTAAAAAATAGTAGAAAATTTTTAAGTTGATCATAACATGCAAGATAATATCTGATAAGATTTTAGAATTTTTCTCAACAAATTAATTTTATTATTATTTTTAAAATAAATGATGAAGATAAAATATATTTAAAAATTCACAAAAAAGAGAAATTCGGATGCAGATTTCAGTTTCTCAATTTCTAGACTCACATGCCCTTGCAAATGAGGTGCAGCTGAACATAGACTTCAATTTCTCAATTTCTTCTTTTAGAGAGCTAATGTCTTCTCTCACTCCCGTTAGTAGGTAGATTCTCACTATCTAAGGTTTGGGCATCCAATTTATAAATTTTTCAATGTCTTGTGTGATGTGTGCTTGTTCTTGCCATGGAGGTATTCTATGTAACATCTAGTAATTTTTTCTATTATGATTCTTCTCTTTGTAGTGTGAACACCACAAATTCTCATTTCCTTCACTTCTAACAACTTTCTCAAAGTGGATTGCCCAACATTTTGGTCCCCTAAGGTTGTAAATGTCTTATGTCCCTTAGACTTGGCCATAATTGTTGCACCAACTTCTTCTTTAGCTGCTCTTAGAATCAGTTGCAGTTTGCTTTCCTTTTTGATTACAATGTGAATTGTGTCCTCAATATATAGCACTTTCTCATAGTTAAGAATTTGGCTTCTCAACTATTCATACTTGATATTGAGGCCTATCAAAAATTTATAAAGATAGATGATCCTTCAAGGCATAAGCCCATTCTTGAGATTCAAGGCTCCTCAATAGTTGATAGTGATCAATCTTCCTCCAAAGAGCTTATAACTTTGAAGCATAGTCCATAATGGATCTATCCCCTTATACTAGTATTGATGCTTTGGTTACAAGTCCATAAATGCGTCAATCTATATCGCATATTGAAGAAGCCTTATGAACTTGATTCCAAAGATCTTTGGAAGTCTTAAAGCCCAAAATATTCTTGTAGACATATCCTACCATTATCCAATCAGTTAGATAAGAATAAGAGCATCATCTTTCCTCCATACCTTGGACTCTAGACTGGAGATATCTGGTGGATTCTGAACTAGATGATCTTCTAGACCTCGTCCCAATAAAATTAATTATACATATTGACTCCACTGGAGAAGATTGCAGTCATTATATTTCAGCTTTGCAAGTACTCCTAGAAGCAGTTATGTCAGTTGATCTCTCTCTTCTAAAGAAGATTGAATGATCATGGAAGACACTTGAATCACCTCAGATGAATCATCGGTCGACATAATCATCTTATACATAACAGTATTTCTTATGATGAAAGATTAATTAGTGGACTATATCTGACAATCTCCTCCCACACATTTTCATGATCCATGACATAATCTCCCACAGTTCACTTTCCCTGCACAAGGGTCATCATCTTCATTATGATGCTACAAATATGAGGTTTGTTCTTCTCAATGAAGAAAGAACATCGCCCTTAATCCCAAACTTCTTTAACAATGGGCAATAACATAAATTTACAGCTTATTTCTAAAGCAAGATGATTCTCAACCAGATTTTGATTGCTGCCTTAGCTCATCTCCACTACTGATAACCAGGATTGTTAAGTGCTACAAGAGGATCAATAAGATGGTAAGCTTTACCCTTCTCAATTATTAATTCCTCAATAAATTCGAAACACTACAAGAAATTTTTCTCATTCAACTTATATTGTGGTGGAATATCAGGTAATTCTTGGAGACAGGTATCTATTATAGAAGCCATTTAAAAACTATTTGACATCTATTGAGATATAAATCAAATTCCATTCCCTAAATAGCATAAGTTGTCTCCCTCCTCCAATAATCACTAAAGAAGAGGTCATGGACGAGAAATCTATCAAATACAAACGACTGAAGTAAGACATAATCGTCTAGCTAACATCACAACACTTTCTCCCCTCACTCTACAGAAAGAGATGATAACAGCCTAAATCCCCTCAAATCAGACTTGAATCAATCTTAGACAACAACCACGATGTTGAATATCATCAAAAAAAAACAAAAATGCAAGGACCTCTTGCACTCTTCCAGACAACGAAGGTACAGAAAACCCTCAAATTCGATTCAAACATGATCAAGCCCAAGTAAAATATGATGTGAAACTGGTGAAACATCCCTAGAAGACAGATTAGGCGGAGCAATTGCTCCTAAGAGACTCTCATCCTATGATGCAATAAATCTTTCTCTGGTTTGCCCTCCAACGGTTCCACAGAAAGCAAAATGCGAGAAAACTCACTTTCATTCAGGTGAAGAGTTGGCGTCAAGTACACGAGAAAGACGATGGATCTTAATGGATTCAGAAGAGTCATCGACTAATCTACATCTGTTCTCATAAGAGCAGAATTATTATAAAAGAAAGAAATAAAGACTACATCTTCCATCACTTTTAAATGGAAAAGATTAGCTGAATAGCATCGGACTGCAAAGTTCTATTTTTTAATATTTCTATGATTTTTTCTTACTAACAAATGTGATAAAATGCTGCAATTTATCACGATAAATTCTTACTTCATCATTAATAAAACCAAATTAATTTTTTTGTTCTCTAACCCACAATCCATGTACAGAAAAAACAATTATAAATAGTTGGCGTAATTCACTGTCGTCAACTACACTTAATGTTACTAAATTCAAGCTCCGTATGACATTACATCCAGGAATAAACTATATAAATCAGGAAATAAAAAATACAAAAACAGTAAAAGTACAGCAAAGAATCTGATGATCTTGGCCACAACTTCGTCTAGAAATCAGAGAAGCATGAAGCCCATTCATGTGTGTGTGATTACACTATGTTACAGCCTTACAACAATGAGCTCAGCTCCATTCAGCACTTAATAGAGCAAGTAACCAGGAGAAGTTGAATAAACAGCCAGTCGTGATAGGATGATGATGATGATGATGATGATGATGATGAACTGGTAAGAACTCAGAGAAGAAAAGCATGCCAATTGGACAGCCATCTCATAAATTATGGAGGGATATCTCTGGGTTTTGAATCCGTCCCCTATACTCCAGGAAACTTCATCATTAGATATGTCCCCGCTCCATAACCTGTAAGAACCAGAAAGAAAATCACGTTTCATGCAAATTGCCCAGAAGAGAAAAACATTTACCCTATCAATAAGATCGCACGGAAAAGAACAAACACAGAATGCATATTTTTTTAAATGATATTATTTTTTGAGAGCATCAAGAAACCAGTTGAGCACGCAAAGAGTCACCTGGGTGTGAGTTCCATGTAGATAACATATAGCGCCAAGAATCAATATCAATGACTCGGATAGAAGTATAGCCCAGTTTCTCAGATACCTCTCATTCAATGTAAAATGGGATCCCACGGAACTTAACTTTTCGATCTTAAAAGAAGTTCGAAAGACTGGGTTCTAATATTCATAAATGAAAATTATTCAATATTTTTCTAGAACAAAATCTTAATGTCTACCCATGACCTAACAGCAGGACACTAAGAAGCACTATAATGGCCATTCATCTTGAAATAAAACGGAATTAGAATTCCGCCTCGACCATCAGACAGCACAAATGAGGCCTCCTCCAATACTCTGTCTTGCACAGAGACATTTATTTTAGAGCAACAATCTTGGGACTCTGTCTGAATAAGATCCTGGTATATTGTAGTGTCGAATATAAACTGCAATAATGTGTACCCATTTTGTAGAATAAATTTCGTCCTATCATTTCACAGCTTCTAATCAAAAATACAATCTTGTTCATTGAATTCTTCACCAAAACGTACAGAGAAAAGAAAATATCCACGAATGTAGCTTACACATACCTTCTCTTGAGCAAAATTGCCCCGTTGAAAATGATGTTTGACTTGAAGCACAATTGAATCCATAGGGTTCTATTTTTCCCACCGGAATAACACTTGGTGATTCAAGTGCCTAATTATCATCTTCTTCTGGGTCATAAAGGTCATCTTCATCATCCCACTCTTCATCATCATCATCATCATCATCAGATTCAGCCAGTGAATCAAAATCCACATCCTGAGAATAATAAAAGAAGTTATCTGCAATGTTTGATCACTCCTCTCAAATAGTGCCAAAAAAGAGCATCTTACTTGATCTAAGTTGGAGTCACCTCCACGATGAATTATTTTCTTGTGTTTATGTTTTTCAACCTCTACATCCTTAGAGTCACCCTGAACATACGATTCCAATGAGACAGCAATAATTTACAATAAAATGAAAAAAATATTAACAGGAAAAAAGTAGTCATTAATACTGATGTCATTAATGGGGAAAACAAATACATGAGAAAATATGGCACCAGAAAGAAAAAATGCTCCGACAATTGTCCTACCACACACTTCAACATGTTATCCAATTTCATCTTAATCTGCATCAAGTGACCCACCTTGGCTATTGAAACAACCTGCTCTAGGTCACCTGATAATGTTCAGGCACCCGAAAAAAATTCACAATATATCTACCAAAATGAATGCCTGAAATTTTCTCTCCACTCAAGTTTATTCTCCGATAAAAGCCCTGCTCATGCTCAGCAAATCCTTCAGTGAACTGCTTAAGATCAAGTACTTCCCACTACTGCAATTCTGTTCCGATAAATCCTTTACAAAAGGCACCTTTGTTTCATCAGCCTTTTTTTGACTAAAACTCAGAATGTCACAAGCATGCTCGTTTGATACTGCCACAAGTCAGCCAACTCTAATCCAACTCAGTTTCGAAATCTGTCTAACACTGAGTCCAACTTGTTCTTCTCATTAGCAATCATTTTGGTCACTGAATATTTGTAGAATCATTGAAGATTAAATTCCATTGGAAGGGCATTGTAGCTAACAATATTGCACATTCCGTTTGATCTCATCTGCAGGTTTCACCTTCAGTGTCAAAATGGCTTTTCTTTTCAGAATACTACGTTGAGTTTGGATAATTACTTGTCGTATGGATATGTTCCGCATTTTAAGGTTCCATCTTAAAGTAGAAGTCTAAGAACACTAAGTGATTTTATAAAACCCAGGTTAGTGCTATCGACAACGATTTTCCCTTTCTCTCGAAGGAGAGTCGTGGCATCAAAAACATTGAGAGATAAGAATAAACAGCAAGAAATGACTTCAAATTTCAATATGACGTCCCAGCTAATGATAGATTCACTAAATTAATAGTATACTTCCTCAGATGTTCTCCTGCATTGGCAGTAAATTCTAGAAAATGCACAAGAAACATCCAACAAAAATGGAATATAAAAAGGCCCACGACAAACACTTACTAGCTCAGACATAATCTGCTCAATGGATCTCTCAAGTTCACAAATGTGCTGTGATAGCGCCTGCAACATTCATCATAATCAAAAGAAATTCATGCATAACTGATCAAATTTTGAAAGAGTAGAGAAGGCAAAAGTCACAAACCTCATGCCGCTGCATTGCAACTGAACGTTTTAATGCCTTGGCCTTTGTCAATAGATTTCTAGGTCTCAAATTTATAGGTCGTTGATAATTTTTCCCACGATAGTAGATAAGGGCATAGCCTTTTGGAACTCTTTCAATTGCCACCAATATTCCACCACTTTCGTATTCCAACAGCCGAGCTGAGTCCTCCACAAATGCGAGTGTCTTCTGCTTGGAGATTAGTTTCACCAGTTCTCTGTGCTTCCAATGCAAGTGCATGTTTTCAATAACACCATCAAAAACACCACGAATGCCTGCATTGGAAAAGAAAATGCAGAGAGATAAGTTTACACCAGAAATGTTAAGAAAACAAGGTTCTTGTCTACCAAGAAATATACCAAGAGGTAAGTATGCCTTCATTCGTAAGCCTATCCTTCGAAACACAGACCGCTCCTCTTCACTTATTGTCTCCAAGTCATCAGAGGGTCTAAGTGGAACCATAGATAATTCTATCTTTGACAGCAATTTCTCCGCTCTTAGTTTCTTGGCCTCAGCCTGCTCCATAAATTGAGCTATGAGTAATATTTCAAACAGAAAAGCAGGCAAAGAACGAAACCAAGGCACAAAATGTTGGGTTTCTATGGCTTTTCCAAGTCGGATGACGAATTTAATCCGAACAAGAGGCCAAGATGACCTAATGGCAGTAAACCCTGTCTGATCAGACAGAATATACGAAGCTTACTTACCAAAGAGAGTTTATGCTCCAGCCTCTTGACCATCTTGGCAATCTTCATCCTAAAAGCTTCTTCTTTCATTTGTTCCTGCTCCTCAACAGATACTTCTCTTCCCCACTGTGCTTGAGCCTGCTGAAATTCGGCCAGGGTACCTGCAAGCGCATGTCCATTGACACGTTCCATATGGGATTCCCCGTGTAGACTGCAACCAGACTCTTCTTTGGCATGTTCTATTTCCTTTGTCGATTCCTCCTCAATTTTCAAATTGGTTCCAACATCTGAGGAATCAAAATCTTTCGTGCGCACTTTTTCTTCAAGATCTTGGATATCTTTGGCCAGCTCTTGTCGTTCTGCCAATGCAGCCGCAACACTTGTAGGAAGAAAATCCTTTCCGCGATATATGACAATATAATACTTGTTTCGGAGAAGCAACACCCCACCCGTTAAATTCTGAAAAAATAAGGATAAGAAAATAATTGAAGAATCATCAAACACGGTCATCAAAAGTTTTCGGATGAAGAATGTAAGCAGTAAATCAAAAAAAGCTACATGGATATTGTCAATCAGCATAATGGAAACCAATGTACAAAGGGGATCGCAAAACATATTAAACGAGAACAAATAGGAGAATTCAAATGCCAAAGTTAAACGTTCAAATACAATCCAAGGAAGCACGCCCGGCTAAAAGCACACGCTATCACTTAGTTAACAGTCAAGAAACATTACTCCAAAGACTAAATAATAATCCAAGATAATAGTCAACAAACAATTTTTGATGCTTACAAACCCTTGAAATATGTTCTTATCACTATTACCAACTTATAATGTCTCCTCTCTCTTTCAAGATCTTTAAAAACAAACAGGAGCACGTCTCTACATTTTTTACAGATGCATGCTTAACAATGGTCCAACCACCTAAATTATTGTTCTCTCATTTCAATTTCATCAACAAAACATTACGGTTCCAGATATTTATGCCCTCTTTTGTCCTTCAAGGTCATAAATGATATGCACCTCAGCACCATCATCAACAGGTCCACCATATTTTTGATAGGTACTTAACTACCTAGCTCACTGTTAATACTATACCACTTCCCACACTTTTCTATTCATGTTTCTAATGAATAAAATATAAAACGGTAAGTATACTGAAATCATAGAAAAAGTTCAGACCGAGTTAAAAGATAATGGATACAGACAGGTCGTAGGTACTGCAATCAGGAACCATGTGACCAGAAATGAAAACCAAATACCAAAGAAAGATAACATTCTAAATCATGTTGTGCCATGTTCTTATTTGAAGATTTTCCCAAAGAGCCCTTGCCAAGTCATTGAAATGGGTACAGCAGTTGATGGCTTAGGGTGCTGAAGAAAGAAATAAAACAGGAAAAATATAAACAAAATCATAAAAACGAACGGAAAGGAAAATAAATGAAACCAAAGAGAAACAATGATCTGTAGAGAAAGATTGAGAAGACCAACGTAACCAAACCTTGAAAGAAAACAAAACCAGCAAAACTGCTCAAAGACTGGGAATAATGATCTATCCTTTGGTACGGAGAGCCTTAGACAGAAACAAAAATCATTACTTGACACTCATGATGCAAAAAATTAACAGGAATAAATTTTATAATTCTGGAATCAAAGAGAGGTACACGCACTTTCAGCTCCTCGGCCATTATTTTATTGTTTGTATTCTGAATACCCCGTTTCACAGCAATTTTAACAATCACACTGTTTTCCCATAGTTTCACAATAGCAGCTGCCAACCCTTGATGATTCCTGTTCCTCCCTTCACAGATGAGAAACTATCGTTATCTCAACTCAAAAAAATACTGATAATATAAGACAAAAAAAATGTGGTCAGTTACATACCAAGGGCAAAATGACTTGGAAGTGTCCTAGCTAGCTTTCTCAAGTTGGTCATCTCTGCATTTGTGAGCCGTGACCTCATTCCAGTCGGAAGAAGTCTAAACGGTGGTTTGTAACCAGGAATATTTTGTGGCAGCAGATCAGCATCGACAGGCAAGATTCCAGTTCCCCACCAATCGACAAAGCGAGGACCTAATTCATTAAGTAACTGATTGCATTCCTGTTCTTCCTCTGTCATAGTTTCAGCATCGTTCAGATAAGATTGTTCACTCATTTCTGATGGCGATGAAACTGAGGAAGTGCCATCAATAACAGATGACTTCGTGGAAGATGAAACGTCAGGAACAAGCAAAGAGTCCACCCCCTCCGATACTTCCATGGGGTTGCTCTGACCATAGATCAACTTTGATCTTGGCGGCCGTTTGTAGGAGCTGCCACGATATACAACCATAACACTTCCTGATCTCCATATAACCAAGCCTCCCGTTCGGCGCTGATTCAGACAAAATGTCATAAGTGAACGGCATTGCAATATAATAACGACCAATCGTCATTACACAACTGTCAGCGGTTCAAGTCCACCAGAAAATGTAATTCAATATACTAGAGATCACCTAAATGTGAATGAAATAAAGTAGAACAAAATTCCCAACAAATGGAGATCAAACGGCATGACAAACACGCATGCATATATTTTAAGCTGAATCATGGTTTTTTTCAGATGAAATATAACTTTTTTCTGCTGAAATATGTTCCTATCGATTTTGATGATTCTGTTTCAGAGCAGAACAGCTAAATAGACACCAAAGAAAAATTGAAAAAGAGAATGGATTATATCTATGTTAGAAGGGTTAAGAGAAGGACATGGCATATGAAACAGAGACGTTACAAGGATAAAGTGAAAAAACCGAAAAAACTCATGCAATTCGGAGGTGACAAGTTTTTAAATGTCATCTCTCTTATTAGACTTCTTCTACTTCTGCCCTCCTATGTTTGAATGCATCAAATAACATTCATCAATCTTTTCGTCTCACTTTAATTTTATCTTGTCCAATTTTTCATGTCTGAAGGTATCAAACAACAGAGGCTTCCTTGACACATTACGTTAAGCATATTTAGGTGACATTGTATTTTTTTCTACCTGACAAATAGAAATGAACAGAAACCTAACGATTACTCAAATGAGGTCCCATGGGTCACCATGCATACCAGTTGTGTGTTGACAGATGTACACTTTTAAAAAATAGTGTTGGATGACTGATTGACAATTAAACCCAAATCCAGTTATGAGATTTGAACCACCAAATCCTACCCAACCCGAAATTGACAGAACAACCCTTGATCACAGTGATGATTACAAGTTTCAAAGCAATAGCGATGCTGTATACATACTATGACAAGAAGAACACTGACAGCATAGACCTAACCTCGAGGATCTCCATATGTGCACGATGCATGCCAATAGATTGGCAGCCTCGACATGCACTGAACCAGACAATCTTTTCTTATCTGTTTATGCATTCGAACTAGAAGTAAGAATTGGTCCCTGCCAAGGGGGAAGGAGCTTACACAGAAATCTACCAGACATTCAGGGAACTATAGACATCAAAACCTAGAAAACCGATCTTCCAGCACATATGTTGCAGCTATCCTGTTTCTCCAAGCAAAGTTGCTATTTATCATCTATATGCCAATGTTTGTCACTGATTACCATTGTATCTTGGGTCCTGGGAAGATTCCATGTACCACTTTTCACTGAAAAGATCATCACTTTCTATTCTCCAGCTAATAGCCAATCAAAAAATGCCATTATAGAAATAACATGAAAGAATCCAAGAAAATTATGACTTAGTTCTTAAAAGTGGATCATTAAATAATAAAAAGAGCGCAAAGAAAAGTGCATATGTGTTACAAATTAACTATCTGAAAAAAAAAATCACGTCCCAGTCACTCAACCAAGATGGTTCAGGACATATTAACCAAAATAACATACTCATGCTCTATCTCCTTGGAAACAATGGTCTCACCCTCTTTTCGACTCTGTTATATAAAAAATAAAGCAGAATCACCTCCAAACATGTGTCCTTTAAGAATATGCAAATACATTATCAGAAATATAATTCGAGTTGCATATCGAATGGCAATATGATTTGATTTATCATTGACCTTTGCGACTTTGCTAACATCAAGAAGCTTATCAACCACTAAAGTGTCCTGTGTGGTTGGAGAAAGTCAGCACATTTACTAACCTCGACGATCTCATGAGCAGTCTTCATGTCATGCGCTAAGGTCTCGTGAAACTTGAGCCGCACCAGTTCTGACTTCCGCCAGGCATCGTGGATCTTCTCGAGGACCGCCTGGGTGACGCCGGCCTTGGGGATTGTGATCCTCTCCCTCAGTGGGATCCCAAGACGCCGCAGCCTCCTCAGCTCTGAATCCTCGATGGTCAATTCCGCCATCGTCGGCGCCCTTACTCTCTTCTCCGGCGTCCTCGCCCCATCGTCTGCGAATTCGAGCCCGTCGGTTCCCCCCCTCTCCCATGGCAGGACGGTGGCATCTTCTCCAAGGACCAGCGAATCCGGACGGTTCCAGCTTCGCTCTAGCAGGTCTCCGAGCCGCATGTCGTCATCCATCTCGAAATCCGAATCCTCGTCGCCGTCTTCCTCATCCTTCTCCTTATCCAGCCCAAGATTACGGAGCCGATACACTATCCTCTCGATGGAGCCTCTTCCGCCATCAGACCTGTCGATGTAGCCGCCACCACCACCTTCTCCATCCTCCTTCTTCTTCCTCCCCAAATGTGGCTGCGACTCCGCCGCCGGCGGACTCGGATCGCTCCACCGCTGCAGCCACGGCGCCTGAGGGACGCGCGACGGCCTGTGGTGGCGGGACTCGGTCCCCTCGCTGGTGCCGCCCGCCGACTCCGAGTAATCTTCGTCCCAGGGGTATCGGCGGGTGCGGGGGCCGGCTTTCCGGCGAGCGTCGGGCCGCCCACCGCTGCCGCCGCCACCGCCCTGCTCGGCAACACGAAGGGAGCCCGAGGGACAGAAGAGGAAGCGGAAGCGGGAGCGGAGGAGAGCGAAGGGCAGAGTGGAGCGCGTTCGCAGCGGCGCCCCGAACGGCGAGCTCTGTAGGTGGAAGGGCAGCTCCGAGATCTTCGCCGCTGACGGCGGCATTCTGCTCCAGAAAAAAACAACAAGCGACCCAGAGAGAGAGAGAGAGAGAGCTTCCTACCAGTGAAGCGGAGGATGGAGGAGAAATCGAAGTATCGGCATGGCGGGAGGGAGAGGAGAAGGAGGGAGGAGCCGGCTGAGGACGACGTACAGAGCGGCGGATAAGGTGACGGTGCCGGTCCGAAGATACTTCGATCTGCTGTCCCTTCGTGTGGCGCTTAACCGGTACCCTTCCCTTCACACCTGACGTCATTCCAGCACCCGCCCGCAGGCTTCTATGGCCCAACCCGAGCGGTAGCCCCCCCTCTCGAGCCCAAACCACGTCTTGACTCGGCTTATCGCGTCTCCCAGCGATAAGTTATCTGAGGAAATTTTAGCTGGCACCTGATCGTCAGAAGGACACTTTCGTATATTTAATAAATTATTTTCTTAGAGATATTCTTCTTGATCGTCATAAAATCAGATTATTCCCTTATCAAGGGGTATATTGACAATGTTAACTCATAGCTAGGAACATGGAATTTTGTGGCTTACCATATTTAGCATCTAGAAGCGTAACTTGGGTGTCTTTTAAAAAAAATGTGATTTTGTGTCAACCTTTGTGAAGATCTTCTTTTAAAAAAATACATGACTTACTAATATTGGTATTAAGCTATAGTTAACGTTAATCTTGATGATAAAATGGAACTAGATTAATTTGTTGTCAATAAAAAATATGTTTCCATTTTGTATTTGAAATGTTCTGGATCTTTTGATTAATGTTTAATTATCATATAAGATTCATGTTTTATAAGCCCAAGATATCAACAAGTGATGAACACATTTAGACAATAATTAATTAATTTTGGGAGTCACATGACAACTGAAAATATCACAATCAGCCCGACCCATGCAAAAAATGGTGAACTGTTTGCACAAGGGTTGACTCTTGGACAATAGGAGTCAACGTCCTTGGAAAAGGATCAAGATCAAGAACTGGAAGGTGGGTTGACCCCTACACCTCCTCCCCCCCCCTTCCCCCCAAAGGTCAAGGTGTGCACCCCTATGTGGCAACACAATAGAGCTTTTATGAATGCTCACACTCACATGGAGGGGACTATAGTTGTGAATATCTAGCTCAAACATAGCAATAACACCTATGAATTCGCACTAGTAACTTTGGATGAAAAAAGAAGGCTAAGAGGATAAAAAAAAACGCCCATTTTTAGAAAAAAATGAAGTATATACTCTTTGATTTTCCATTTTGGTTTGGAAATTGTTGTCATTGAGTGAGGAGTCTTTGTGTAAGAAGACAAGGTTAGTGACTTTGAGAGAGAGTTATGTGTTATGTTTAGGATTTTCTAAGATATTTATAGAACCATAAGGTGCAAGTATGATGTGTACTTTTTTATTCAAAATTTTTATCTTACTATATACAAGATAGGTAGAGACAATACACTTTCTATCTCTCTCCAGCTGCTGCTAATCGATCCAAGTAGGATCTCCATCTACAAAGTTTCAGAGCCTAGTTTGCTTGAAAAGGAAGAAGAAAAAAACCCTTTTAAAAGCATAAAGACTACATTTGGAGGTGGAATCTGTACTCAGCTCTCTAAAGGTAAAGTGCCCACCCCTCCAATGAGCGCCTTTTTTTACTGTCCACAATAGCCTCTCTCTCTCTCTCTCTCTCTCTCTCTCTCTCTCTCTCTCTCTCTCTCTCTCTCTCTCTCTCTCTCTCTCTCTCTAACTCTCTCTCTGCTTCTTTCTCTCTTGTTCGCTCTGTCTCTCTGCCTCTCTCTCTCTCTCTCTCGCTCTCTGCTTCTTTCTCTCTTGTTCGCTCTGTCTCTCTCTCTCTCTCTCTCTCGCTCTCTCTGCCTCTCCCTATCTCTCACTCTCTCTCTCTCTCTCTCTCTCTCTCTCTCTCTCTCTCTCTCTCTCTCTCTCTCTCTCTCTCTCTCTCTCTCTCTCTCTCTCTCTCTCTCTCTCTCTCTCTCTCTCTCTCTCTCTCTCTCTCTCCCTCTCTCTCTCTCTCTCTCTCTCTCTCTCTCTCTCTCTCTCCCTCTCTCCATCTCTCTCTCTCCCTCTCTCCATCTCTCTCTCTCTCTCTCTATTTATCCATCTATCTAGCTCTCTAACTCTCTCTCTCTCTATTCATCCATCTATCTATCTATCTCCCTCTCTCTATCTATCTATCTATCTATCTATCTATCTATCTCTCTCTCTCTCTCTCTCTCTCTCTATTACCATTAATTGGCATAGGGATCTCGCGAGAGTAGCATCAATTGTGATTCTCTAGTTGGGGAAGTTATCTCATGAAGTCCAGTTTTAACATTTTCTTTCCTTAATAAGATCGATAGCATTAATGGTCATTTTCCAAATTGAGATATCTCATGAAATCCTCGTCTGTCGGATACACATAAATGTACTCAGATGTCGAGACCCTGTCGGTCGTCAGGTGGAAATCATCAAGCACGTGATAAGACTCTTTGGAAGACCTCCGGCCGTCGGAACCGCGGCGGCTGACGTGATACATCCAAGGTTTCCGAACCGCCGCCGGTGACCCGCACACCTTCTCCATTCGTGCACGTTATTCTAACGGCTACCCGGTAAAAAGATGTTCCAAATTTGGACATGATAACGGCAATTAGTAGGCTCAGCGCCGCCCCGACTCGGCCAGTTGCTTCCAGGAAGATGAGATGAACAGTGGATCGGACAGAGCCGACTCGATTGAAACGCTGAGTCAATGAACACAACGCAAAGATTTCTAGAAATAGGAAGAACGAGTCGACCAGGAGGAAAAGATAAATAATTGAAAAAGACCACGTGGCTGAGACTGCGCGGGGTTTCGTCCGTTCTTGCCCGTCCGATTTCGCCCAGGTGGCCGATGATCGGATCGGACGGCTGAAAGGAGCTGAATACAGGCGAACGTTAACCCAGGGGTGGCTCTGAAGACGGGGGGGATCGGCGAACCACACCTTCCTACTCCCCGCCGTCCGCTGCTGCGGCGCTCTCCGACCAGCCACCCTTTCCCGATAAAGCCTAGACTCCTCACAGCGCAGCAGCACACATCCCCCCCCCCCTCTCTCTCTCTCTCTCTCTCTCTCTCTCTCTCTCTCTCTCTCTCTCTCTCTCTCTCTCTCTCGCTCTCTACGGTCAGAACGGCTGGCCTCCCTCGCCCCTCGCAACCAGCACCTCTCTCTCTCTCTCTCGCTCTCGCTAAAGCTAAATAAAGCATAAGCGCGACATCGGTAAGAAGAGAACAGGAGAGACTGACCACCGGTTTTTGTCTCGTCATCTCCTTCCACCATATCTCGTTGCTCGTCTGCTTCAATCTTTTCTGTCGATCGTCGGCATGAGCCCGTCAAGGGAAAGCAATGGCCATAGCATTGCCCGACCGGCGCCGCTGCGGATAAACAGGGTGTCCCACATCATCCACAAGCACAGCCCCGCGCCTTCCTCCTCCAACTCCGCCGTCTCCGGCGACGGCGCCGGAGGCCAAAAGCAGCAGCAGCAGCAACAACAACAACAGCAACAGCAACAGCAGCCGGTGATCATCTACGCCTACTCCCCCAAGATCATCCACACGCCGGCAAGAGACTTCATGGCCCTGGTGCAGAAGCTCACCGGGATGTCCCGCGCCGAGGGCTTGGGTGCCGGAGCGGCGTCGGTGCCGCGGGAAGGCCGCGCCAGCGGATACACGCCTCCGCGGGAAGACCACGCCAGCGGATACGCGCCGCCGCGGGAAGACAGCACCAGCGGATACGCGCCGCCGGGGGAAGACCGCACCAGCGGATACACGCCGCCGCGGGAAGATCGCGCCAGCGGATACGCGCCGCCGCGGGATGACAACGCGTCGTTCTGCTCCCCCTCACCGGAGAAACCCGTCGGCAGCCTATTCGCGCCGATCCCAATTCATTTCTACAGATGCCCGGAGGCTTCCGGCTCCTTCTCGCCGTCGACGATGGAGCTCTTGCAGGCGTTCTGTGACTACTGAGAACGCAGCTGTCGCCATTCTGGGCCTCCTTTCTTGGTGCAGTTTGGTGATGACCCCCAACCCTCAATGCGTTTGTGTGTGCGTCCTCCTGCGCCAAAAAGAGGAACAAATTCGTTTTGCTTCTCACGAGGTTATCGTAGATTTCTCTGTTCATATCAAGCCTGGACGCCATTATTCTATATAAATATCTTGTTAACCCCGATTCATCATTTTTTCGTATTATCATATAGTTTTACGCTCTTGATTCACCCGGAGCGGTAGGCTGGTTGGAGCCTCTCTCTCTCTCTCTCTTCCTTCTTCGCCGACTCTACCAATCTTCCTCTCCACCCTCCCTGCCCCATCTCCCCCCTTCCATCCCTCAGCTCTAACCCCTCTCCTTCCTGAACGAATCCCTCTCCATCTCACCCACCCCTTGTGTCGTCATATGGGTAAATATCATTTAAAGATGATAGTTTAATGTGTATGTACGATCCAAAGTGAAATGTCCATCTGTAAGCTGTAATCAAAACCAGATGTTAGTTTAGTACCTATGTACCTGTATGCAAGCCTTAGCTTTCATTAGATACAGACTCTTATAGTTTATTACGCCATGTATACTAATTTAGCCATATTTACTACCCGAATTGGATTTATATGTCACAATCCACTGTCATAGGGTAACTGTCATTTATGGTGCTATTGAATGCTTTAGCCGATAGTCAAAAGATTAGTCCCCATGATAGCCTAGGTGTACGCTACCAATATGTATTGATGATTCTTGTCCAATTACGAGGTAAGTGTGTAGATAAACTATTGCATTTACACATGTAAATCCTAATGGTACTGTTTTATCAAGTATATGAGCAAGAAATGTAATGTACATGTAGTTGTTGGTGACTCTGACACCATTAAAATATCTTTGTGGAAACAATGATTCAGCATCAAGTTTATGTTAAAAAAGTTTTGAAGATAAATGATTGTGTTACAATTTCAAAGGTTAAAAGGATGAAAATGGAATTAATACTACTAGTGCTCATATTAATGGCACCAGATCTACCATGTGGTATGATGTAGAAGCATAGATACTAGATGTCAATAAGGATAGTAATATGTCATGCAAGGTACAAACTCATTTACACCATCACTTAGAAAGCACTAGATAAAAAATCATGGAATTTTCTTTTTTTTTTTCATTAAGAATGATAAGAGATTATGATTTTTATATACAAAATTTAAGTATAATCAATAAAGGTGTGAGTGTGTCATTAGTGAGAGTAGAGAGATTGAAATTGGACAAGATATCCAAGATTAGAGGTAGAATTATTTTAAGATTACTGAAAGATTTTGAAGTCCATATTAGCACAATAGAAAAAATACAAGAGAAAGATATCTCTCACTATAGAATGTGAGAGGGAAGGAAAGCTGTATTGACACCAATCTAGGGGAAATTATAGTGAGTAAGTGAATAGGCCCCATTGTTGCGATTGCGGTACTCAAGGCTAATGTAGGAGCTTACTATGGTATAGATTTTGGTCATGATACATCACTCCAAAAAAAAGAAATTGAGAACATAGATGAATTTTTGTTCTTGAGTAGCCTTAAATATGTGCTTGATTTTATTGTGTACCATCAAAAAATGAAGATATGTGTCGTACACGCAATCAGAGATGGAAAGAAACAAGTTTGCCATGTGACCCTATGACTACTCTCATAACTAAAATGCAAGATATGGATATTTTGGGCTTTATATGAAAGCATAGTTATGTGAAGCTCTTTGAAAGATAGCTTAGGTCCTAGCTTTCTCTTGTATTGGCAAAAATCACAATTTTCAAATTAATGATCCATCAATTAATAAATATTTGATTTGGATGCTTAACCACATAAAAGATTGTGAATTAGAGCTTAGTTAATTCAAAAGTTCATAACATAACATAGGGTAGTTATGGAAAAGGTTTGATTTTCTCCATTCCTAAGACATTTTCTAATTCTTTTGAAGATCATTAATTTTAGAAAACTTCTCATTAAAACGATTTCTTGGTTTTTCTTGTTATTCTCTCTGACTATGATTTGTGTTCATACATACTTCATGCTAAAATGATGATAATATGTACAGATTTTCTGGGCCATTGAAAATATTATCAAAGTGAACCTTGATGATCAAAAGTATGTAAAATGATTGCAAAAACCTTTTGACAGAATGTACTCTCCACAGTGAGCTGGATGCAACAAGACAAACTTTGAAAAATTTTGCCTTTTTTGGGCTTGCAACCTCCCATGTCCTATATGTATTTATTTATGATAAAGGTCTCATGAGATTTATTAAAGAAATCCAAAAACTTTGTGTAGGATGCAATAAAAACTCACCACCCTTTGTAATTTATCATTGGGTGATAACACTTTTTTTGATTTTCCAAACTCAATGAGTCCAAATTTTTTTCAATAAATTATGAAAGTTTCAGAAAACATCTAATAAATTTTATGATTGAGACATTATTTTCATAAATTCTTTAATTTTTTTTCCTACAGGAATCTTATATTTTAAGCATTTTTTCCCTCAAGCTTTTCTTGGGGATCATAGGATAAATCAAGAAACGACAAGGAAGAGGGGGATGGGGGGCTAAACATTGGCTACTTGTGATGTAGACAATTACACCTCATTATTTTACCCTTGACTACAATGATATATCTAACTTAAATACTTTAGGCGCGTGGTGGAAAAATGACCTGCGACTCATTCAACTCTTGAGTCAAAACTATCTTGGAATAATTAAAAGCACTTCCCCTAATAAGACCTTCAATTTTGGTCAATACCTATGAAAATAACCTCGCATTAATTAATTACATATGAGTAAAGTTATTGTCACAAAATTGGACCTGGTATCAGAATTTAATAACCTAAAAATTACCCCATCATGCTGCTCTTGAGTTGTGCGTATTGCGTCCCATTAAATAATAATACTTGCATTTTTCCCATCTTTAGGGTCAACTTATGGATAAACATGTACATTAAATAGGAACCTAAACCTCTCATGAGCCTAGAGATGGGGTCTACCTCAACGAGGGCCGTCGATTAGAGGGGTTTAGCCTGGTGATCGAACGCGTGTGAATCCCAGCATGCGCCGGCGAACGCAAAAGATCTGTGGCCTCTGTGACTTGGCCCTTCGAGACGGAAAGATGTTTTGAAGTGTTCAAAGCTGACCGGTCCCGATCGCGTGCCCACGTTCTTAGGCGGCGGCGACCGTTGTCATTGTTGCATATAAATTACGAAAATGCCCCGCACGCGAGGTAGGAAGCGGGAAACGTCGTAGAAGACTTCTACAAAAGCGCTCCCCTGCAGCCTCTCCAATTGCCTCCTCTCCACTCTTCTTCTTCTTCTTCTTCGTCTTCTTCTTCTTCTTCGCTCTTCTGCAGCTTTTCCAACTGCCTCTTATCTTATCTTCTTCTTCTTCTTCTTCTTCGCTCCTCTCCTCTTCTGGTCACTTGAGGAGAATTCTAGAGCTGTCGAGGTGCGGAGGGAAGGCGTAGGCCCGGAGAACCGAGTTGGTTGTGAGGGCTGCGGGGAGGTCGAGCATGGGGCAGAAATCGCTGATCTACAGCTTCGTAGCGAGGGGGACGGTGATCATCGCGTCCTACGCGGAGTCATCGGGGAACTTCATCAGCATCGCGTCACAGTGCCTCCAGAAGCTTCCGGCCAAGAACAACAAGTTCACCTACAACTGCGGCAACCAGACCTTCAATTATCTCGTCGAGGACGGCTACAGTTGAGTCTCGTCACCCATCTAGTCTACTCATTCGATGGATTCGAAGTGTTCTCCGGGCAACCGCACGGTTTTACCCGATGCAACTTTGATATATGATGGCGAGCGTCAGTCGTTCCGTTTATGGCGCAGGAACAGTCTTTCCACGCGTCGGTTTTGGGTCAATAATTAAAGTTGATTTTTTTCATTAACTACATCGTTTCCGTATTTATTTTTTTCCCTTCGTTAGAGCATTATCCATTTTAGATGCGTCAAAGTAGCGTGAATTAATAGCTTTTCGTTCTCATATGGCATCTTACTGAGTCAACAGACGCTTTAATTTTTTTATTGATGAATCTACTTCCTGGTTTTAAATCCCTATGGTCATGTGTGATATTTTACGGGTTTTCTCTTTTGTTCATGATTTGGTTCATGGTATTGACCATTTCTTTTTCCCAAATTTTTGCTCAGAGATAGAAACTTATTCTTTATTCTGCTCTATTTATAAATTTTCACCATCCATCTCTCTGGTAGCATCTGCTTTCCCCTCCCTAAAATGCTTGTTAGAATTGATATATCTCTATGATCTGTCCTTGTTAAAAAAAAAAAAAAGTCCACCATCCATTTCTTGCTTTGGTTTTAGATTGTGTTTCATAACGAAGGACCTAAACACTGACTGGATGCTTAAATTCCTTTAGAAAAAAGATTATACTGTCTGGTACTCTGATCAGCCCGAAGAAGTCGCCTTCCCTTTTAATTCTTCGAAGTCAGGAGTGCAATAGTGTGAGGAAGATTTTTAATAGCCCATTAGACAAATCCAATTTTTAAAAATCCATTTTTTTATATGTACTTTAGTGTGATTATTATGCTATTTATCTCTTAATAGCCCATTAGATAAATCTAATTTTTAAAAATCGAAACCATCAAGCTTGGATCACCCAATATATTTTAGAAACCGTGAGGATCTCTGTAAAACAATTCATATACTTTGGCTCTATGATTATTTCCTCTCTGTGTTTACTAAATTTTTTAAACTATATGCACGTATAAATTGATAAACCAGCTTAAGATCTAAGATTTATGTGCTGGCCGTTGACAGGTCGTATTTAATAACGATTTTTTTATAACCAAGAAAAACTGATAAAGAGTAACAACTAATACCATAAATATGCATTCCATGTGACATCCGAAGCCTATTCTGAGTGATTCGATGTTGTCAACCAACATACATAAATCTCACCCTTTTGGTTTGAGATTTCTGCTCATTACAGTTGTTGCAACCAAGTCATCAAAATTGGATTATCAGTCACCAGTTTTACGTTAATAATGATTAAGGGTTCTTTTTTGGTAAA